AAATTGCAGCGACAGGCAAACAGTTCAGCAGCACCTGCAGCAGCGGTCATTAGTTGCTGACATTCACAGTCGCTGCCAGCATCGATGCTGCCTGTTTTTGTGCAAATATTTCTGTGTGCATGTGTGTATGTGTGCGTGTATTTACCGTTGTTATCATTGTTGCTAATAGTCGGTCGGTTGTATCGTGGTTGCTTTGTTATTGTTGTCATTGCGGTTGCATTTGATGAGTCAACTGATGCGTTTTTTACTCCAGCCATTGCCAACAGCAGCAGTTACGGCAGCAATAACAACAAAAACAACAACACAATCAAGCTGTAATATTAATATTAGCGGCAATTGCTCGAGTTTTAATACTTGACTGCAGGACGTGTTTTTGCTGTTGTTGTTGCTGTTATAATTATTTTTAATTCGTTTATAGTGCTGTTTAGCTATTGTAGTTATTGTTGCAGCGCATGATTGCTACCGCTATAACATTGTATTTTTGTTTTATATTTGTTTAAAGCCTTTTTTGCGGTACATTTGCGCATTTTAGCATGGTAATTGTTATTGCTTTATACGGTTTTTGTTGTTGTTACTTCTCAGTGTTAGTCGCGCCGGTAAGCAAGCATTTATTATGGCTCTAATGGAAGGACAAGGCTGGCAATAAAACTAATTAGAGCGCAGGCAAAGAAGACGCCGCGCGTGGAAATTGAATCCAAAACGTTTTATTTACCCCAAAGTGCAGCATTTTTCTTTTAAGACACAATTACTGCAGTTACAAGAGTAAATAGTAACAAGAAAGTGGAAAGTTTGTTGAAATTTAAGTTTACTTAGCACATTCATGTGCTGAGCAAGGTCTTTATTTTTATTTTCAGACGTGTTGTGCGTAGAAAACTTAATTTTAGTTTCTATCCAATCATATTCTGCCACAATAGCTAAAAATTTACTTTGGTTCAGAATTTTGAGTTTATATAATTTTTTTTGTTACGTAACTTGATATAAAATAAATAATTTTAAGACCTCTTCTGCGACTCTTTTCTAAACCTACAACCGACAGCTACTAATGTTTAAAGTGTATTCCACAAATAATGACTTTTTCGGTCTTTTACACTAACATTTATAATGCTAAAATTTTACCAAAGCAGAAATTTACTGGCTGTAAGATAACGCTATATGAATTTCCTGTAAATTCTTTTTTATTTAATTTTTTGGAAATTTAAAAAAAAAAATGAGTTTTAATGCCATAGTTACTCTTGTACAGTGTGCGCCATCTTATACATCAATAAGTAAATAATTAAATCAAAAGTCAATAAAATTTTTTCACTGAAGAGCTTTAGTGCTTTATATCAAAACAACCTTCTGAAAAATAGTAGACGCTTTACACTCATTTATTTAGTCATTGAAATAGGTGTCTAGTGACCAAACTTTCTATATTTTTGAAAATCCCTTTGAGAAGCTTGAATTCAAAAGGCAACTGTTTGTCTATGTGTGCGTTTTAAGGCGTTAAGTGGGTTTGAAAATTTTGAAACTTTTTTTTGTCTTATTACATATTTAAATATGTTTAAAATATTCTCTTAAGATTTCAAAATGAACCAAGTGAAATTCTAAGAGATAGACCTTTCCGAAGTTCCGCTCATTAGGCCACGTTAGTGCAGTGCTTCGCAATTAGAGGCGCTTATCTCAAAACTCAATCTTTTATTTTACCAAAAAATATTGTCAGCAAGAAGAAGGGAGATGAAGTGCCGACGACTGAGTTTTTAGAAGTTTTAGATAAAAATTTCTTAAAATACTGTTTAAGTATGCATATTTGATATTTTTATGAACTAAAAAAAAATAGTAAAAGCACCATTTTTTTAACCTCAGAAATCCACTTCACTATTTAAAACCAACTTCTGCTGCAATGCCTAAGTTTTCTAAAATAAAAAGCTTAAATTCATTCATTAGCATTAGAATTCTCTAATCGCTAGTTATGAACCACATTAGCATGTAGAAGAAATATAAAACATATTTCCAGGAAATTCAATGTTTAAGTTTACCAGCTACTACAAATCTTCGGTATGAATGGCAGTAGCGATTATAATTCTTTTTACTATGTATTGATATTTAACAATATCTTCTTTAATTAAGATTAACGGTAAATAAGTACTGTGCGGGAAAATGGTATTCTACAAATCGTAAAGCAGTAGCATGCTCTTCATATGCGGAGGCTCATTGCAATGCAAACTATTTTACACACATACACGCGAGTCACAACATTAATTATTTATCATTAAACCTTTTGCGCTTTGTTCAGCAATATTACCTTAACCATGTGCTAGTGTTTGTATGCGTTTTTAAATTATATATGTTTAATTAATTTTCTATAATACTTTTAAGCGCTTTGTCTACTTAGAAGCGGTTAACTGACAGAAATTCCATAAAATATAACCAAAGTAAATAATAGTAATAATTCCAACAACCTGTACAAAGGCTTCATATTCCTCTACAAGTATATATAATAATCTAAGTAAGTAAGCATTATTGAGTATTCTCCATAGACTTCCAGGCATCATTAATCGGCCAGCTCGTTAAATTTTCATTATTAATTTGATTGATTTGTAATTTATGTGACCGTTTGATGTCATCACGTGTTCATATGCTCGATCGCTCATTTGCTCGCTCGTTGTCGGCCGCACACTTCACAAAGCCGTCTGTATGCCGCTTTTGTAGGTATTTGGTATCTGTGTGTGTGTATGTATGTATGTGTGTGCAAAGCGCTCATCAATTCAATGACAAACACATTTTCTACTCCGTTCATAGTTGCTATTCGCTGGCATCACTTTGAATTTGATTAATATTATTGTATTATTATTTTAGCATTTTTTATGTTCGTACAGCATTTGTGCACTTTGAAATTGTTTGCTGCGTAATTAATGTATGTTGCATGCTGCATGTTGCATGTCAAAGAGTTCATTGTTAAATTGATTTTTGCAATTATTGTTAAAAATAAATCAAATCAAATGTGAATTTATGATAACGTGTTGAGTTATTTTGATTTACTGTGCCACAGTGCAACTGGCAGTTGATGAATTTATGGATTTACACCGTTGAATGTGTATGTGTGTGTGTGTGCGTGTTTTGCGCTAATATAACTCACTAATATAACTCATGCGCGCAGGTGTGCCGCCTAATATTTTATGCGTTTATTAGTATTAATAATCTGTAAAGCGCTTAATTGACTAATAAAAAATGTATTTGCTTTAGATATAATTAGAAATGATATGGATTAAGAGATAACAGGCGGTACGCATGTTCTAATTATAATGAAGTGCAGTAATACTCAATAATTGCCCTAATCAATATTTATTTGTATGCATAATCACGCGCGTCGCACCGTATTTATATAGTCTATTGTCTAGCATGACTCTCGTAATCTCCTTAAATGCATAGCTTTGTGGCAGGTTTGTGCCTTAAGTCTTCTGCTTGAGTTCTACAAACAGCATAAATCACTCACCAGCAGCTTAAGCAAGTTACTTCAGTCTATAAAGAATTGCTATCTATATCGCAATTGATGATCTTATTTGTCATTTACTTTGTGAGTTCAAGCAAGAATTTCAAAAAGGCAAAAGCATAGCTTATACTTTAAGCTGGAATTGCATAAATTGATATTGCGGTTTTATTGTTGGAAAGCCCATTCAACATTTCAAAACTTCCGGGTTCGCTCTTCAATGATGTGGTAGCACAGTCAGGTCATAAAAATAATAATGGAAATTCACTGGTGTTATCCAATTACAAAAAATGCGACGATTAATAACTGTTTATGTGTGTCATAAATTCTTGATAATGTTTAGCTTTTGATGTATTTCATATATTATATAAGAATTTTGCTTGACTGCCTTATTATTATTTAGCAAATATTTTAATTCTTAAATATTAAAAATAACAAAAGTTTATAAGTTTTGCAAATTTATTTAATATAATCGCAGATTTATTTATTGTTTAAAGACAGTTGGGGTTACTGATAAGTTCTCAAACTCCTGGGACCCCGAAAAAGACAAAGACCTTGAGCTAATCTGCTATTAGTTTGGCTATTTTATATTTCTTAATGTTTCAAAAAAGACGCCAAATTAATATTAATTTTTTTTTATTAAATCTAGTCCTTAACTGATATTTTCCAAATATTTATTAACAGTTCAGCATTTTAGGCAATTTATTTTGTTAGATTTTGAATGCATAAAATATTTAGTAAGAGAAAATTAAAAACTCTTTTCTAAGCGTAACAAAATATATCAGCGAGTCTTAATATCAAATTAGCTGCAGTTTACTAAATATATGAGTAATTTAGCAATATAAAGAGATAAATTATTAATATTTTTTTAATGTGAAAATGGTAATATATATATTTATTTCAATACACTTTGAATGCAAATCAAATCGTATAATTAACTACAACCCTATTTTGATCTATAAAGTATGCCTTGGTTTCATTGATTAGAATAATAATAAATACAATTCATGATGTTGTTCATATAAGTATATTGAAGCATTTTTCTGTTATAAAAAATTTTCTAGAATTTTATTTATCTTTCTATTATAAGAAAATGATTTTAGTGGCTTCAAAGGTCTAAGCTATGCTGCATTCATACGAAAACTCGATGAGCCAATATATGTGCAAGTTTGTTTCTTAAATCTTTGGTTTTTTTATATTAATGTTAATGACAACCATGGAATATACCATATGTCTTAACAGTTATAAAATCGAACCAAATAATAAAATACAGCGTTTATAAAAATCACTTAGACTGTGGATTTCTGTTATATAAAAATAAAGTTGTTGTTAAACCAAAATTTTGCTTATGGATTTTATTTTACTGACTCAGAATTTGGCACGGTTTGAATTTCATACAATTATTTATAAAAATACAAAAATATTTATTTTGAATACATAAAAAAATTTTCAAATTTATTAAAGAGCAAAAAGCAAAATTGAGTACTTACCATTTTTTTCAATGAAATTAATTTGATAATTTAGTTTCTGTTTTATATTATTTACTCCTTTGCATAAGGAAGTTTCACCTAATTCTGCGAACACTACACAAATTCTTATTGTTATTCACTTTTGTTTGTTCGTATCTATTTAATAATTTCCAGCACTTTTGAATATGTGAATTTTTAAATATGTGAATTTCTCATTTTCATTATTTTAAAATTTTTGATTTTATTTGCTTCACTTCTTCTTTTGCAATTTTGAATGCATTATGTTAAGCCAGTTTATAAAACTTCAGTTAATTATTTATTTTCAAGACATTTCATGCAGTTCAAACACTTTAAATGCTTACATTTTAAAGAAATAACAAATATACTCGTTGATATTAGTTTTTATTTAAGGAAGAAATTTTTACTGAAAAAAATCCATGTAATAAGTGCTGTTTTAAAAGAGAAACACACATTTTCGAAATTCTACTAACTTTGATAAAAGATGCTGGAGCTTTCTTCTAGCTAAGTTTAAAAATAATATTCAAATAAGAAATAGTTCTTAGATATTATGATAATTTGCTGCACACCTTTAGGTTTCAGGTATGATTTAATGCATGATTACAGTTATATACATATGAAGGTGAGTGTTACGCTTTCACTGTGTTCTTAAAAGCAATTTTCTTATAATTTCCTCTTTTGCTGATCTTTTAATGGCTTAAATTCTTTAAAGCTTTTAAGTTTTCCAAATGCAAAATTTTGTTGAATATTTTGAAAGGAGATTGTTTTTGCCTAAAGAAAGCCGTAAATTATAAACGCTCATAAAATAATCATAACAAAATTTACACATTTTAAAATCAACTATATCGGGCATATGAGATATCCAAAAACTTTTTATGAAATAGGAATTTATTGTTAGAATTGATGAAATAAAGTTTGTCTATATACTCATTCCAGTAATTTAGTTTTGCACACACAGAGCATTCATTCACTTCTCTCTAGCAATTATTTCACAAATTAATTGCATATTTATATATATGTTTTACAAATTATTTTATTTCAAGCCTTTCCTCCACACATATCACACTATTTGTGTAAGAAAATATTTAATTATAACTAAAAACACATATGCATAGTTTTATAGGCGTTTGACGGCTATACGACAGCGAAGCTCCATGACGATGACGAGCTGACGTTAATTTGTGTGACAGCTCGCCAGGCAGGCAGACACACACGCAGCCAAATGTCTTTTCAAATAGACATGCAGACGAGTTGGCAGACGAATCAAGACAGGAAAAGTGTGTAGAAAAGTGGGCAAAATCGGCATGTATAAATAGTCATAAGCTGCAAAAGCGCAAAGCTTGCATTTTATGGTATATTGCGTGAAGATTTTTGACCGACTCAACTGGAAGAAAGTACAAATTTCCAAGCGAATGGTCAACAGCACCATTTTTTAGCTAACTACAAGTATGAATTAGTTGTAGTTATTATTAAATTAGTTTGTTTTCTACTGACGTATGATTTTGTGGCGCTAGCACTTAGTTGTGCTAATGCAGATTTAAAATAGTTTTAAACTGTGAGTAAGTGCATTTTTTTTCATTTTATGTGAATGTGACTCTTTTTGGTGATTACTTGACTTGACGCTCAAAATATTTAGTATAAAAAGGTGAAATTAATAGAAATAGTTATGAATAGCGAAGCTAAGTCACACACTTCACGAAGCTGCTAGCAACTTTAGTACCATAAAAAGAAAAACTTGCCGCAGCAAGTTCGCTGCTTAAGTCTTTTGTTATTATCTGCAAAATAGTCCGATACGAAAATACTAAAACGTAATATTTTAAATGCAATGATTTGAATATATGGTGCATAGAAAATAAGAAAGTGGAAAATATTTCGAAGAAAAAGAAAAAAATTAAAAAATTACAAGTTTATGTTTCAATAATGAGAATTGTATTGACTTTCAAGTAATCAAATGGATACTTTAGATTTAATCTTTGTTTATGGACTGCATATGCCGAAAGTTGGCATTTTATAGTTTATATTTTCATACCATTTGGCAGAGCGCAAA